TCTGATCTTCCCTGTGTCTCGTGTCCCAATCTCGTCACTGGATTAGGGGCCGCCGTGACCCATTGTGACCTCATCTCTCCATTGTGACATCTGCACAGACTCCATTTCCAAGGGGTGGATATGAATTTGGGTGGACACTATCCACCCCAGTGCACTAAGTAAAGATGCCTCTATGAGCTGTCTGGACTCGTGACTAACGTCGCCCGTTTTGGGGGATGAGGCCCCGATATAGGGGCTGCAGCTGCCATGGCCCTGCCGTGATGCCCGGTCCCCCTCCAGCTCCTCCCGAGTCTTTGCTCTGCACCGTCTCCTCTGTTACAAACCCCACCTCGGAGGGCAGGAAAGGATGAAATCGAGCACAGGGAGCTCAGATTGGGCTCACGCTCGGGACTGGTCACGGCGCCATCCCCATCCCCACTGCTGCTACGATGACAGCGCTGGCCCGCCACCCCTGGCTCTTCATCTCCGGCCCGGGAGATGCGCTTTCCCGGGAGTGTGGACCTGGCTGGCACGGGGGTGTCCCGGGCGCTCACCCAGGAGCAGCCACAGAAGGGGAAGTCGGCCTAGAGGGGAAGCGGAAGCAGAGCCTCTGCACCGCCCAGGCCGGATGCACCGCACGCACCCCTGCACCCCTGTATGATGAATGACCACTTATCTGTAACGTTTTTTTTTTTTTTTTTTTTTTTTTTTTTTTGCTGTACGTGGCCTCTCACTGTTGTGGCCTCTCCCATTGCGGAGCACAGGCTCCGGACGCGCAGGCTCAGCGGCCATGGCTCACGGGCCCAGCCGCTCCGCGGCATGTGGGATCCTCCCGGACCGGGGCACGAACCCGTATCCCCTGCATCGGCAGGCGGACCCTCAACCGCTGCACCACCAGGGAAGCCCTATCTGTAACGTTTTAATAAATCCCTCGGCAGCTGGCTTCTGGGCCCTGGGACCAGCAGCCTTGTCAGGTGGCCCGCCCTCCAGACTAGCACACTGTGTGGCAAACTGCCAGAAACTGAGGGGCTTTGAACAGCCCTCCTTCATTATCAGAAAGTTCTGGATGTCCCACATCTGAGCCAGGCCTCATGTGTCCTTGAGCAGGGACCCTGTCACCCCCTAGGCCCAGGGCGGCCCTGCAGAGAGGACGTCAACGCCACCAGGACGGCCTCAGTGACAGAGAAGCCGTTCCAGGTGGGCAGGCCCGAGGCCGGCAGGTCTGGTCACCCCGGCCTTGGAGGACCCGTGTCCGCGGGTCCAGGAGGAGCGACCAGGACGGGTAGGACCTCAGCAGACGGTTAGTAAGAGCTGAGGCACGACCCACCACGTCCTGTAGGCCAGCGTCTCCTCCAGGCTCAGTCCTTCCACAGCTTGGAGGTCTGGAAACCCCCGCAGGCCCAGGGCTCCTGGCCTGGCCTTCAGCAGCTGCCTCTAGAATGTGAGCCTCTGGGTTAATTCCGGAGGCTGGATAGATGACGTCTAGGGCTCAAACCAGCGTTCTAGCCAGGGCGGTCCTGCCCCTAGGGCAGCAGAGCCAGGGGAATGGAGACTCTAAGTTATGAGAATTTACAAAGAAAAACATTGCTCTGGCCTAAAGGGAGATGGCGCTCAAGCTGAGCCTTGAGAGCAGATCCTTCTGGAGCCCAGGGGTGGGGAGGGTGGGGCCCACTGGAAGGGGGCGGAGGAGACCCCAGCGTCTCTCCCCTCAGGCCGGAAGTGACCCTGACCCTACCTCCTCCTGTGTCCACAGGGCCTGCTCACAGAGGGCTCAAAAAGAATCCAATGTGAAAACATGGAGGAGGCCTCCCTGCCCTGGTTAGGGGAGAGGGCGTGGTCAGCAGGATAAGGGCCCCAGAGACACCCCCGTCCAGGTCCTGGGCCCCAAGGACGTGTCACCTCAAACGGCAGAGGGAACTTTGCAGACAGAATTAAGTTGAGGCCCTTGAGACAGGGATGACCCTGGATTCCCTGGGGCGTCCAGTGTCATCACAGGGTCCTTATAAGGGGAGGCGGTGGTGGGGGGGATGTCAGAGGCAGAGAGAGACGGGAGATGCTGCACTGCCGGCTGTGAGGATGCACGAGGGGCCGCGAGCCAGGGGTGCGGGGCCTCTAGAAGCTGGAAAAGGTGGGAACCAATGTTCCCCTGGAGCCTCCGGAAGGAGCAGCCCTGCCCACGCCTGGATTTAGCCCCGTGAGGCTCCAGAACCGTGAGATAATAAATCTGTGTGGTTTGGGGCTACAAAGTCTGTGGTGATTTATTACAGCAGTCTTAGGAAACTCAGACAGAGGCTACGCAGATAATCCTAATGAGCGCTGGGCAAAATAACTTGTAGTTGATGTAACTGGATCTGGTTACATGTGGGCCTGGGATCTTCTGTTCTCCCCGCTGGCAGGCAAAGCCCGCTCACACTTCTGGGCCCCGCTGGACACTACGGGTGTGGGAAGGTCAACTCAAGGCAGCATGAACTGTGCAAAACACAGGAGATGAGCATCCGGGGATGGAGTCAGATGGACGGGAGGAGCTCCAGTGAAGAGCGGAGGGACCCACCTCCCCCCACGAGGACGGCCGTAATCAAAAAGGACAATCAACAGGGCTGTTGAGGACGTGGACCAGTCGGAACCCTCCTGCACTGCTGGTGGGAACGTAAAATGGGGCCACCGCTGTTGAAAACAGCCTGGCAGTTACCAAAACATGGTTAAACCTCACCCAGTGATTCTCTCCTAGGTGCCCAGCCAAGAGAAGTGACAACACATGTCCACACAAAAACCTGTGCATGTGCCCAGCAGCATGATTCACAACAGCCAAAAGGTAGAAACACCCAAATGCCCAGCAACGGGTGCACTGATCCACACACGGGAACATCACTCATCCCTGAAAAGTGGTGAAGCTCTGACACTCGCTACCACGTGGATGGACCCTGAGAACACGATGCTCAGTGAGAGACAGACACAGAAGGGCACACAGGGTGCGACTCCATTGATGGGAAACGTCCAGAACAGGCCAATACACAGACACAGAGAGTGGGTTCCTGGTTGTCAGGGGCTGGGGCAGGGGATGGGGAGTGACTGCTGTTGACGATGGGGCTTCTTCTGAGGTGATGGAATGTTCTGGAACTAGACAGAGATGGTGGCTGCAAACGTTGTGAATGTACTGAAAACGCTGGAATGTACACGGGAAACACGCAGAAAGTCCGGAATGTGAATGACAGTCAGTAAAGTTGCCATTTTTAAAGCAGGGCGTGGGGGACAAGCAGAGCAAGTGCGGGCTGAGCCGCTACCCCAGGCACCATAAAGAACTAAAGCAGTTTCCCTCTCAGCTCAAATCGAGGTCAGCACTACCTGTCAAATCTGTTTACCATGAAAGGCAACAACACAAGCACGGAAAACTACATGGGATTAAAAGGTGCAGTCACTGATGTGTCACAGAGTGAACACTCGCTGTGTAAGGGGCCCCCCTGGCAACGCAGCTGGAGGCCACCTGTACTCTGGAGCAAGAAGGCCCCGTGCCTCGTCCACAGACCAGAAGTGCCTTCGCTTCCTTCCCCCAAGCCATCATCACTTCCTGCCACCTTGGTTAACACCCAGTGAGGCATTCACAGTAAACCTCAGAACAAAACAGAGCCCCCACTTTACATGGGAAGACTGAGGCCCAGACCTAGCACTGCTGACATCAGGGCCGTCCCAGGTGTTGTGGGGGGTGGCGCAGCATCCCTGCCCCCACCCCCTCGATGCCAGGAGCTCCCCCCAGTCCCGAAGACCACAGATGTCCCCAGACAGGGCCCAGTGTCCCCTGGGGGCAGGACCACCCTAGGTGAGAACCATCGGGTTAGAAGATGGTGGCTCAGTACCACTAGTTAATGATTAGTAAATCAGTGCTAAGCCACGCAGCTGGCAGCAGGAGGAGTCGACTCCTCACCCTGGACCGTGGCTCCTTCTGCCCGCCACCCGCCTCCACAGCCCCACCCCTCTGCTATTCGAGCTTCTGCCTGTCTCATACCAAACCCAGGGCCAAGTGCCCTCTGGGCCGGGGCTGCTCCCGCACCAGGCACCTCCGCAATGCCTGCAGGCCGGCTGGGTACTTCCGGCTCCGACTCTCCCTGGTTTTGGGGGTGCGGGCAGGGATGCTGCAGGAAGGTGGTGCCTCCGAGAAGGGAACGCAGCTGAGTACAGGGTGCAGCCACAAACGCCCCACCTGCCCGCTTCTCTCCCGACGTGGGGGACCTCAGACCCCGCAGGAGGCACTGATTAAAAG